GTGCCACTGCTGTAAAGGCTCTGCGTCTGGTTACTATTAGATGCAAGGTCTTGACACTGGGAATTTCCAGCAAATTTTGGTCTTCAGAACGAAGGGATCTCTGGGGTTGGTAGGGGGCGAGGCGGTCCCTCAGGTACATCGGCTCCAGACCATGCAAGGCCTTAAAGGTGAGTACCATTACTTTGAAAGTGATCCGGTGCTCAATTGGGAACCAGCGCAGCTGCAGTAAGATTGGTGTTATGTGGCATCTCTTCAGAATTCCCGCAAGAAGCCGAGCAGCTTCCGGATCACCGACAGAGGAAGGCCAATGTAGAGGGCATTACAGTAGTCCAGTCTTGAGATGACCGTAGCCTGGATCACCGTAGCTAGGTCGTCCCTGGACAGGGAGGGGGCCAGCCGTCTAGCCTGCCGCAGATGAAAAAAGGCGGTTCTGCTAATGGCGGAGACCTGGGCCTCCATCGTCAGCAGAGGGTCCAAAAGGACTCCCAGACTTTTTACCAATGATGACGGGCGTAGCGCCTCGCTATCCAGGGTAGGCAGCTGGATATCCCCACTGCTCGGTTGACCCAGCCATAGGATCTCAGTCTTTGCTAGATTCACCCTCAACCTGCTGGCATGCAGCCATTCAGTAACGGCCTCGAGGCACTGATGGAAACAATCGGGTACAGAGTCCGGTCGGCCTTCCATCTTCAGCACAAGCTGAGTGTCATCAGCGTACTGGTAGCACTCAAGTCCAAAACCTCGAACCAGCTGAGCAAGTGGTCGCATATAGATGTTAAACAACTTGACCCCAAAATATTTTTATATCATCCTTTTCTATGCTGGTGCTGAAATGAGCCAATATTGTAACCTATCAAGCTCACACAACAAAGTCACAGCTGAGAAGGCCCTTTGCTATGCTTCCATAGGATGTTTTGGACAGCACTCTAGCTCCTGAATTCTTTACAAAGCTACTGTTTCTGTGTTATTCTCAAAAACAGGCAGCACTGTGTAGTTTAAATGGAACACTATTAGTGCACCAATTACTGTGGTCAAGTAATCTTTGTCCAAGAATAACAGGCCAAATAACCAGTGCACTTTAACAATTGGTATTATTCAGGCCCGTAGCGAGGGGGGGGGGGTTAGGGGTTCAACCCCCCCGAAATGTTTCAGATTTTTTTTAAAAACCTGGTTTACTCATGAATTTTAACTGGTTAACCAAATCCCCATGCTAAGTCTATGAGATGCAAAAAATCAAGAGTCCCTCCAGAACTGCAAGCACTATCTCAAGCAAATATTAGCAATTTATTCATACTGTCATTACTTGCAGCAATAGCCGATGTAGTTGTTCTGGTACAGCTGTACCAGGAGCTCCAACTTTATTTGCTTTGTATTAAATGTTTGCTTGCAGTCCTAAGTTTCAGGGACTCTGCAGATAGGTGGCTTCTTTGGTTGCAGTCATAGGGCAAGTCACCTGTCCATCATTGTTAAGTTTGGTCCCGCCCCTTGCTCAGGGCAATTGGGAAGGGAAGGGAGCCATTTTTAGTTAGTCTCAGCAAGGTAAGCTTATGTATAGGATGTGTGCAAGCTTCCCCTGTACAAAAGCTTCAACCCTTAAGACCTTCTGGGGGAGAAAGGTCTTAAGAGTCTCCAAAGAATTTCCAGGAAAACAGCCCTAAAGACCAAAGAACTCCAGCTGGAGAACATCTACTGCCTTGCTGGTAGGTCCACTCGGCGTTCGAGACGCAGTTCGACCCGGTAGCGGAGCCCACATCAGTAAGGGTTAGATTACAGTCAGCCTGGGAGAAGTTAAAAAGGGGATTTTCCTTTAAAGAAGAAGTTATTGAAGACAGTTGCCTGTCCTTCGTGGGCAAGATTAGGAATTCACCAGTTGCCTAAAAGCTTGGAATCATTTGCTTAACTTTACTGAAGACAAGAGAAGTTTCTGTTTGATTGTTCATTAATAAAAGACTTTGTTGTACTTCTCAAGCCATCTAAAGACTGTTTGTGGTGGAAACCTCTGAGAACTTCTCTTTAGGCCCCCTGGCTTCCCGCTGGGCAAAGGTTGCACATCCTGTTCTAAAGACAATTATTTACAGGCCCAGCGCGCGACAGAACAGTAGTGAAGCAACCAAGTTGGGGAGGGGGGGGGTGTTGAATGCTCTCATTAAGGAGGCCAGACTTGGTGGAGGTGGTTGACAAGGGCGGAGCTGCAGGCTATTGAAGGCTGCTCTGCCCCCTGCTGTGCTCTTTGCTTCAGCGTGAGCTAGGAGGCAGGTTTCAACCCCCCCCCCCGCGAAATTTTCAACCCCCCACCCCCCAAAAATTTAAACCCCTCCCGAAATTTTTTTCTGGCTACGGCCCTGGTATTATTGGAGCCTCTGGTGTCAAATATGAGTCCAAGGATAGTTCCAAGATATACCCACAGTCCATTATTTAAGGGTACAATCCCATCAACCACAAACTGCTTATTTCATTTTTGGACCTGGGAACAGCAATACTTGGAGCTTCACTTTAGGTTTATTGGCTTTGACCTATCTCTTTACAGCATACTGATGGCACCTAACTCCAACAGTTTGAATCATCTTGTCTAGTAATCTTATATAGATGCTGAATAAAAAGAGGGACTAAGTGGAACTTTAGAGCAATTGTTAAATTGATAGCTATAGACTGTATTGAAATTCATTAATGCCATTCATTTAGCCTGCTCTGTGGATCGGGAAGAAAATACACCATTTCTTCCCACCCACTGAACCTACAATCCCTTCAAATCATGACTGATGTTTTCCAAAGCCACAAAGAAATTAAAATGATTCAAAAGGAACAATCTTTGCTCTTGAGTATATAATCTGTCAAGGTAATCAAGCTTATGCCTATTCCAACTAACAGAGAGAAACCAGGCTAGTATGGGTGTAGAGGGCATTTCTAGCCCCAGGTCCCTGCAAACCTGGAACCAGCTTTCCTCAACTCTCACTTTTCCAGTGCTGTTTGAGAACTCTCATCGGATTTCAGAAGAGAGAGAAAACAGTATTTTTTTTCTTTTAACCATATGCCATTATTTAATGTATTTATTACTATTTCTTCATTGACTGATGGTAGCATTAATTTGTGTGGATTCTGATATAAGTATTTCTGCCACTGGAACTTGAATTCCCCTTAAACCTGTAAATTGTATAATGGAGCATTGGAGTACTGTCCAAAGCAGATATGGATTGTGCAGAGGGAAGATGCAAGTAGCACCACTATTAGGCTGGGGCTGGGAAAAGTTATCCTGCTGAAGAAGGTAGACAAGGAACACAAAAGCATGACCAAATATTTTGTTAAAAATAAAGAGTTGCAGTGAAGGACTGGCTGAGAAAGGGAAGAATTACTGCAACATAAGGCACGTCACCTCTTTATGACACATACAGACTGTATTGTAGACGCCTCTACTCTTTTGTTGTTTTTTTCCCCAGTTTCTAATATATCCCCCGCTAAACCTACATCTATTGGTATTGAAGGCAAGAAGACACTGGAAACCATGCAAACATACCTTCCTTTTTCACTCTCCATATTAATAACCATAGAGCTTTTAAGTTATTTCTGATTTACCTCAGATCAATCAATACCATCCCCAGAAAAAATAATTTTTCTACGGTTAATCAAAGAATTACTGTAGGATGTAGAATACGTAAGACTGCTAAGGAACATCTGTTACTGAGTCATTTCTGGCTATTCTCATATCTGAGGAATTTTTCATTCAAATGGAAATGCTTTTGTTGGAAGAATTTGATTTCTCCACCAGTCCTGCTTCCTTCTCTTTATTAAATTTTACTTTCCTGCTTAACGCCCCACAGTTGATGGTGAAGATATAAACACTACAGGAAATAATCTTTATGGGTTTGTTTATGCTTTTCTGAAAAAGGTCATCCATGTTGAGACCTAATATATGATTACATTCCAAAATGTAAAATTAACAATCTGGGATGAGGATGTTAATTTTGCATAAACACTTTGTTTGCCAAGCAAAATAGGCAAAACCAAGAAAGTAAGGAACAATAGAAGAACAATATGAGAATTTCAAATTGTTCCAAAATGAATTGTTGAGTTCATTCTGGAATTGGAAAAAGGCAATAAATCTGGGAGGGGGACCTTTGACACATCAGATCTTTTGTATGGCAATTTGCCTAATTCCATCTCAATTTGAGGTAATCTGCTACTTTGATAATCTTCCATTTTATCCTCTATCTATTTCACTTATAAAGAGGCTAAACACTGCCAGATCCAGGACAGAAATTTGAGGAACCTGGGAATCTTTATTAAAGCCATGGAAATCCAGTGGATGACATTGAATAAGTCGTACTCTCAGCCATAGAGGAGGGGAACATTTTTATTCTTTGACTAAAGGACATCTTCAGTGTCCTCTTAATTTGGGGTAAAACTAGTATAGAAGAAAGTGGTTTCACTGTGTGGATGATTACACTGGTGGTCCTGGAAATGATTTGGGGGGCTGAGAATGTGATTTTTTAATCCCCTCTCAATGCATATGTTTAGATCAGAACACTTCAGGTGTCCATACAGCAATTTATGTTCTGTTGTGCGGACACCTGGAATGCCATGTTATGTAGCTTACACTGGGGCATGCTGATGCGCATTAATAGCTCTGTTTTGGAGTATCCCTTGGCTTTGCTCATCCCATTTTAAAGGACTTAAAGTGTGCTGCACTGCATGTTCACAGCATGCACCGTGAAGCTGCTTTCAAACTGTCTTAAATAGTGAGCATAGATAGGCTCAAGTCTTGCCAAGAGAATTCTGTAATAGGTTTACCTTAATGCTGGAAACAAAACAAACTGAAAGTACAGAGCAACAACAAACAAGGAGAGACTGGTTAAGTATAAGTCACAAATCTAGCCCTGCCCACAAGGTTTTGCCATTCTCTTTCTCTCATTGGCCAATGACAAAGTTCTACAAATCCATTATATGTAAACATCAACTGATTTGATAAAACATTCTAAATATACTAAAATGAGAAAATAGCTTACCTTGAGAAATTGAGGAAATGTACGTGTCTAGTGAATAAATATGGCTGTTCAGCAGTACTTATATTTTTAATCAATTCCATCTGAAAAGAAGAACATATAGATTGGTTTTTTTTAAAAAAAGTTAGAAAGTGAAGCTGCCAAATAGTAATCCTGAAGAAAGACTTGTTTGTGTTAGAAATTAATCCCCAACAAAATCCAACAAGAGTAGTGTCCAAGATACACTGAATATAAACGGACCAAGTTTCACTTGTCTGGGACACAGAAGAGCCACTCTGTGGCTCCTTGGCCTATGCCAAACATATACAAAACCAAATATGAATATAATTGTTCCACTATGGCTCTTGAAATTTCCCCCCTTTTGCTAGTTTTCGAGCTGTGCACAACATATGCTGTTTTTGCTACAGGGCTGGAGAAGTAATAAGCCAATTTTTCAAAACAGAAGCAGAAAGCCTGGAGGCAGTTGGGGCAGTAAGTCAAAGCAGCAGTGTGTAAAGGCCAGTCTCTAACATCTGACTGAAAGATTCACTGTCATCAGACAAGAGCATGACCATATATATTTCTCAGAAACCGGTAGGTGAGACTCTTAGTTGGCACTTGGCTGGAGGATATATTGCCACTGCCAATAAAACACAGTTAGAAACTGTCACCTTCAAATGTTAGAACATCCAAATATGGAATGCAAATACTCACACCTTAGGAAGATGACAGTTCTTATAATTAATTAATTTAGAAATGTATCACTCACTTCTCATTAAAAATAATGCACATGCCACATATTTATTAGTACAACACCATCAGTACATACATGAACACTATCAAAACACATTTTCTATTATTTAAGAAAGTCTAACACTGCTTCCACAAATAATATTTTTCAAAAATTGGTCTCAACTACCACATGAGCTTCTTTTACTCTCTTCCTCTACATTGGTGTATGTGTGACTGGTCACTCCATCAAGTGTTGTTTGTTTAGTTTTATATTACGAAATATAAAGATGTCTTTATGCAAGCTCATTTGTTTAAAAAGAAGGGAGCTGTATAGTTTTTATTGCCATGTTACAAGTTTTAGAATGTTCTGCAGTATGTCAGCCTCCCCAAAACATTACAAGAGACGCTTGCGGAAGAATTCCAGGCATATTTGAAGCTCAGATTTCTTGATTTCTGCTCTCCTTAGATTATTCTAAATGACCGTATAAAAACTGCTAATTGAATATAAAAGCTGGCTGCTACAAGGTTTTTAAACCGGAGATCTTAATAGTTGAGCACAATACTACACACTGGTATGTTAACTGAACTAATATAAATCAAATGCACAAAGTAGAGGTAATTCACAGCTTAAAGAAAGATGGTGAATATGAATGTTTCCTGAGAAGTTAAATTCCATGAGACTTACTCTCAATGAAGGAGGGCTATGCAAATTAAATTTATTTGAAGCACTGCCACAGCATGGATGCATTTAAAGTGGATAGTCTTTGGATATAAAGCTACACTCATTGGACACTTAGTTACTTCACTGATTTAATAAGTGGGTTAGCAAATTCATCTCATTATCATAATGCTGAAAATAAAATCTGTAGGAATCAGTTCAGAGGTATTTCCAGAGAGCAAGTTATAATACAATGGGCTCTTGGTATTTACTGGGGTTTTGTTACAGCACCCTCTGGGGATACCAACATCCATGGATGCTCAGGTTCCATTATATACAATAGCGTGGTGAAATGGTATCCTTTATATCAGTGGTTCCTAACCTTTTTTTGACCAGGGACCATTTGACCAGGGACCACTCTGACCAGGAACCACCCTCCAACATTACTACCAAAAGGGTTATGAATAAGTTTTTGGTCAGCTTTAGATTCCGTTTGGGGTGCTGATTCAGAAAATTGCATTGGATAGACCACATCAGCTTTAGTTTCTGATATAGAACATATGCCAAGGTCAGCGACAGGGAAGGAGTGGCATGAAAGGAGTGAAAATAAAATAAATTTTAAAAAAGAGGAAGGAGGCTCATGGACCACATTTTCATCCTCGCAGCCAACTGGTTATCCGCAGACCACAGATTAAGAACAACTGATTTATATAAATTGGTAAAATAACATTCAGTTTTTGGAATTTAATCTTAAACACTTGTGCACTGTGGTTGGTTAAAACCATGGATACCAAATCTGTGGATATTGAGAGTCAACTGTACTAAAACCAAGCTCATCTATTCAAGCTGAATTGTGGCCTTGCAGAAGTAATAAAAGAAAGCATTTATTCACACACATATACTGACACAGTGTAATTTGTTGCAACAAGATGAAAGGATGGCTAAGAGCATGGACAATTTTCAAAAGCAACTAGACAGATTCATGGACGTTGTGACTCTCAATGTTGCTTGCTATGATAGATATAATTTTTCCCCAATACCAGAGCAGTGTGCTTCTGTACATCAAATCCTAGGAAGGTAACAGAGCTCTATCACAATGTTTCTGTTCTGCTCCAGAGTTCCCACAGGCATCTGCTTAGCCACTATATAAATAAAATGTTGGAGAAGATTGGACTAATTGAATATTACTCTTTTTAAGAACGAAATACTGCTTCCTCATTTTCTGGTAACATAATGCCTGCTCAGTGCTTCAGAGAAGATATAAATTACGGAAGATCTGTTAAACTGATAATTTGCCTGACAAAATAGTCTATTTCATATGTCTGTGTCTGTATTTTGTGGTCACAGCGTGTTGCACATGCCACCCTGGAGAATGCCAGCATTTCCATACCATAAAGAGTGGGACCTGATTTTGAAATGGATTAATTTCCCAATATCACTTTTTCTAATCAGCTGCACTACTGTAATTTCTCACCATGGAAAAACAAACCACACCTATGGGCAGAATATATGTGGATATCATTGTGTGTGTGTGTGTGTGTGTGTGTGTGTGTGTCTCACTGGGAGAGGCACTGTTTTGATGTAATAGTAGCTCTACTTCTTGGACTTCAGACTGAGTTGAACCAAGAAGAAAACTGCCTCCAAAATAATCCCTCTGCCAGTAGCTGAATTCATTGGTTGTATGGGGAAAGCAGAAAACTCAGTTACTTTCCCCTCTCCATTATTTATTTATTTATTTATTTCATTTACTTATACCCCGCCCTTCTCACCCCGGGGGGGGACTCAGGGCGGCTTACAGAGGAGGCACAATTAGATGCCTAAATCAATTGACAGCAATACAAAGTACAAAAAAGTAATTCAACAGTTAAATTAAACATCAATGCATAATAAAATATTAAAACAATCTCATGCTCGGGTTCAGAGTCCATATATCCATTCCATTCCATTTGTCCTTGTCTATCGTCAGATCCTTAAGTTAGTTGTCAGAATAACCAAAGGCTTGGTCCCACACCCAGGTCTTCAGTTTTTTCCTAAATGCCAGAGGGAAGTCGCCGATCTAATATCCCCGGGGAGTGAGTTCCACAGGTGGGGGGCCACCACTGAGAAGGCCCTGCTCCTCGCCCCGCCAGTCTCACTTGTGATAAAGGCGGGGTCGAGAGCAGGGCCTCCCCAGAAGATCTTAAACTTCGAGGTGGGATGTAGAGGGAGATCCGTTCGGACAGATACACTGGGCCGGAACCGTATAGGGTTTTGTAGGTCAAAACCAGCACTTTGAATTGTGCTCGGAATTGGATCGGCAGCCAGTGGAGCTGACGCAACAGGGGGGTGGTATGCTCCCTGTACGCCGCTCCGGTGAGCAATCTGGCTGCTTCTCGCTGGACTAGTTGAAGTTTCCGAGTCTTCAAAGGCAACCCCACGTAGAGTGCATTGCAGTAATCCAACCGGGATGTGACAAGAGCGTGGACCACTGTGGCCAGATCAGACTTCCCAAGGTACGGGCGCAGCTGGCGCACAAGTTTTAATTGTGCGAAAGCTCTCCCGGCCACCGCTGAGACCTGGGGTTCCAGGCTCAGCGATGAGTCCAGGATCACTCCCAAGCTGCGAACCTGCGTCGTCAGGGGGAGTGTAACCCCGTCTAACACAGGCTGTAACCCTATACCCTGTTCGGCCTTACGACTGACCAGTAGGACCTCTGTCTTGTCTGGATTCAATTTCAATTTGTTAGCTCTCATCCAGTCCGATACAGCAGCTAAACACCGGTTCAAGGTCTGGACAGCCTCCTTGGTGACAGGTGGGAAGGAGTGACAGATTTGGACGTCATCTGCATAGAGATAGCATCTTAGTCCGAAACTCCGAATGATCTCTCCCAGCAGCTTCATGTAGATGTTAAATAACATCGGGGACAGAATTGAACCCTGTGGGACTCCACACAACAACGGTTGTGGGGCCGAACAGGTGTCACCCAATGAACACCTTCTGGGTCCGTCCCTCAAGGAAGGATCGAAGCCACCGCAGAGCAGTGCCTCTGAGCCCCATGTCCATGAGGCGCCCCAGAAGGATACCGTGATCGACGGTATCGAAGGCCGCTGAGAGGTCCAGCAGAACCAACAGGGACACACTCCCCCTGTCTAGTTCCCTGCGTAGATCATCTACCAAGGCGACCAAGGCTGTCTCAGTACCATGTCCCGGCCTAAAGCCAGACTGTGCCGGATCTAGATAATCAGTGTCTACCAGAAACCCCTGGAGTTGTGCTGCCACCACACGTTCCATGACTTTGCCCAAATAGGGGAGATTGGAAACTGGCCGATAGTTGTCGAATTGAGTGGGATCCAGTGATGGTTTCTTCAACAGCGGTTTTATAATAGCTTGTTTTAAGCTCGCTGGAAATTTTCCTTCCTGTAAGGAGGCATTAACCACCACCTCCCACTCTGCCAACCCCCTCTGGCTTCCTTGATCAGCCAGGAAGGGCAGGGGTCTAGGATGCATGTGGTGGGTCGCACCTCTCCAAGGATCCTGTCCACATCCTCAAGCTGAACCAATTGAAACGAATCCAACAAAACTGGACAAGCAGATGCTCTCGTTACATCCCCAGAGACTGCCGTTAACGTGACGTCAAAACCTGACCGAATCCGCTCAATTTTATCCGCGAAGGATCGAGCAAATGCTTCACAGCGAGCCACCGAGTTATCCGAGGCCTCGCTTTTTGGCGGATTTAACAGGCCCCTGACAACTCGGAAAAGCTCAGCTGGACGATTCTTCGCTGATGCAATATTGGCTGTGATGAATGTTTTCTGAGCTGCCGCTATTGCCACACCGTAGGACCTTAAAAAGGCATTCAGGTGTGTTTGGGCTGGATTGGTGGGATTCTGGCGCCACGCGCACTCTAACCTCCTCTTCTTTCGATTCATCGCTGCCAGCTCCTCGGTAAACCAAGAGGCTGGTTTAGCTCGGTTACTCGAGAGGGGGCGTTCCGGAGCGATAGTGTTGATTGCCCTGGTCAACTCACTATTCCAGCCAGAGACCAGAGCGTCGACAGTGTCACTAGCCAAGGAGGTGGAAAAATCCCCAAGAGCCGTCAGGAAACCATTTGGATCCATAAGTCTCCTGGGGCGGACCATTCTAATGGGTCCACCACCCCTGCGAAGGTTAGAAGGCACAGTTAGTCTAAAACTGATCAGGTGGTGATCGGTCCATGGCAAAGGGGCGATGGTCGGCTCCTCCATCCCGTCACCCTCATCCCATCCCTGGGTGAAGACCAAATCCAAGGTGTGTCCGGCACTATGGGTGGGACCAGATATTACCTGGGACAGGCTCATGGTTGTCATGACGGCCATGAAGTCCTGAGCCGCACCGGAAAGAGAGGCCTCGGCATGGATATTGAAATCTCCCAAGACCAGAAGCCGTTGGGAGCTCAACGCCATGTCCGAGACCACTCCCGCTAGCTCAGGTAGGGAGACTGTAGTGTAGCGGGGTGGTCGGTACACTAGCAGAATCCCTATCCTGTCCCGGTCACCTATCCTAAAGCCGGCACACTCAAAAGAAGATGATTGAGGGATGGGACACCTGATCAGTGGAATAAAGTCCTTATAGACCACTGCGACTCCCTATTATCCCATCACACACACACTCCAGATTCTTCACTAGATGTTTGGAAGACAAATCTAGAATAGTAGAGAAGGTAGTATTAGGGATAGCAGGAAAGAGCAATATATCAAGATGGTCTTTTCCTCCACTGGCCATTTTGGAGCAGAATACTAATCAGAGAATCACTGATTATTAAAAAAAATAAGCTGGGGGCGATTTAACAAAGACACTAAGCTAAATTTAGATAGTGGATTAAACCAAGTAGGTTCCGCTGTGGAGCTCCTACACACACTCCCCAGAAACCATTTGAAAGTTGGGAAGGTGGTTACAACATTCACTGAATGTGGATTGGAATCAAACCCAAGAATATATTTTTCCTTAACCAGTCTGTTGGGATGCACTGACGTTCATTGCCATGTCTTTTTGGGATTAGCACTGTACCACGGTGGGGCACAGGAAATGGGAACATGCAGGCAGAAAGCAAGAATTTACACAGGACTGATCTGGTTTCCCATATTTATCTTCTGGTCAGGTGTATTGTGGCCTTTTAAAAAGTCCGACAGTGCTAGTGGTGTCTTGACAAGTGCTGCGGATTTGTCAAGTCTCACTTTTGAGCCTTGCACAGGATATACTCTGTTCTGCTGAATTGCCTTATTTGCTTTATGCCAGACTTCCTGATGAGTTTTTTTAATGTGCTGTTTTGGAGCTTAATGCATGCTATAGCATTCACTGGAATGAATGTTTTGTGGAAATACTGCCTTGAGCTGGCTTTGAACTGCATTGTAATTTCTGTGTAGAACTGCCCTGTGTAGAACTACATTGTAATGTCTGTGTAGAACTGCGTAGTTATACCATGTAACTATGCAGGCAGACTAAGCAGCTCTCTAGGTTGGTAGAAATCAAAAGGTATCCTCATTTTGGTCCCTTTAGTGTTTATTTTGACATTACAAGAGCTTGAAATCACATGGACGGCAGAATTCTACATATGTTTCAGCAGAAGTAAGTAGCACTGTATAATGCGTGCTTGCTTCCTAGTAAGTGTTTTTAGGACTACAGCTTACGACAGCATTTTGCTTATGTCTTTTAAAAATACGTATATCTTTCTTAGATGACACACACTAAGGAAATATAAAGTAGTTCACATTAACATTAGTCTGCAATTTCAGTATAACTCCACCTGATGGCGTAGAGAAGTTAGTTGAACCAGGATGGCAGAAAAGCTGCTTTCAGTATTTGAAGGCTGAAAAAAAACCTTCACTCTTATCCAAAGAAAATATAATGTGTTATTTAGAAGCAAAATCACCTTTTACTGTCTCAATTCCTAATCCTTAGGATTTCCAGATTTTCTTATTTTCAAAGGGAAATGAAAAACTACTTTACTCACACAAAATCTAGAGAAAACTTTGCTCCAGTCATTTGTTTATCATTTTAAGTCTCTCTCTTTAAAATCTCAAGTGCTTACATTGCATAATAATGTTTGGTGGGCAGTCTTTATTTGTTTTGGTTTTTTACATTTTTCAAAGTCTACAATTCTCTAAGAAAGAAAAATAATAAATAGAAGTCTAAGTTTGATATCTGGTACTCTGAAATCTTTTGAAAAACCAGTGGAAAAATTAAAATAAACTTAAAATAAACTTAAAGCTAAGTGATTTACTAATAGCTAATCATGCTTAATAAGGTCAAAATTTCATTCTACTGCATGACGTGAATTAAATGTTGCTTTATAATAAGATACCATTATGCAACTTTTCACTGTCAGACAGTTATAAGAAAACACTAAAGCAAGTTATATCCTATAAGGAAACTATGATTCTGAACCACAGACATTAATGAAAGATTATTTGTATGCCGAGTTATTTTCTGTGTCCGTAGTAAGTGGAAAGCAAATGACCAGGTGGCAGTAGTAATTCACAAGCTGTTGTCAAAGGCTTTCATGGCTGGAAACACAGGGTTGCTGTGAGTCTTCCAGGTGTATGGCCATGTTCCTGAAGCATTCTCTCCTGACGTTTCACCCACATCTATGGCAGGCATCCTCAGAGATTATGAGGTTTGTTGGAAACAAGACAAGTAGGGTGGGAGGAAGAACTCTTGTCTGTTTGAGACGAGTGTGAATGTTGCAACCGATCACCATGATTAACACTGAATAGCTTTGCTGCTTCAAGGCTTGACTGCTTCCTGCCTGGGGAAATTCTTTGTTGGGAGGTGATTAGCTGACCCTGATTGTTTCTTGTCCGGAATTCCCATGTTTTTGAGTTTTGTTCTTCTTTACTGTCATTTAACACTGGTAGCCGATTTTGTTCATTTTCAGTTTCTTCCTTTCTGTAAAAATTATTCACATGCTTGTCCAACCTCACAACCTCTGGGGTGAAATGTCTGGAGAGAATGCTTCTGGAACATGGCCATACAGCCCAGAGAAGTTCTTTTTATACAAAATAACAGAATTTTTTTCAAAAATAGATATAATAATTCTTTGTGTGTGTATTAAACCAGCTATATTTTGCCTGGTGCTTATTCTGCCATTGCTGTTCAGCTCTTCCATAACTCTTCCACCAAACTCTCCTTCAACATCTTGACTGAACTGATTCATTGAATTGGGCTCTTTGATACACTCTTCACTGATTGACTCAACCTCTTGGATTGAATCTCAATTTACATGTTTTATTTTCCAGGCCTTTTCCTATAAATCCATCTCTTAGTAATGCTTTGGATAATTACCAACTACACTATTTCACTGATCCCTACAGCATGTAGCAACTACTTTGATCCTAAAAGCAAATATCAGTACTGAAACTGGAACATTTTGGGGTTTCACTAAGTGTTTAGCCTTTTTGGTTTAAGCATAGACAGTAGCGCTTTGAGGGCAAAAATTACTCATTTGAATTCTTTCTTTTTAAAAATTGGTGTCTTGTTTGATCATAATATATCGGCATTTAAAAACAAGAATGAATGTCAGGCTTCTATTTAATCAATTCAAAATCAATACATTAAAAAAAAAGAAACAAACAACTTACCTGTTCATTCTTGGTAAGTCTTGTTTTATTATGAATGTCAGATGTAACCAAGTTGAATCCATGTTTCTCAGACAGAATTCTTAATAGCAAAACCACAGTCCGGCTCCCACATTTTCCAACCCTGTTGTACACCACTTGGCTAGGGAATGGAAGTACCTAGGATGGAAAAATAACACATTTGAAAATCTTTACGCCCATTAAATAATTCTGTGGAGTCAAAACTGCACATGTACCAGTTATCCAAACATACATATAAACCTGGCATGGAAAAACTAAAGCCTGGGGAGGGGATCCACCCCTTGTGATCTTTTCTCAGGCCCTCCTCTCCTCTCACCAACCTATCCTTCCTTCCCTCTTTCCTTCCCCCTTCCCTCCCTCCTTTCCTTCCTTCTTCCCTTCCTACTTCCCTCTCTTACTTTCTCCTTCCTTCCCTTTTGTCTTCCCTCCCTCCTCTTTCACCCTTCCTTCCTTCCATCCATCCATCCATCCATCCATCCATCCATCCATCCATCCATCCTTCTCTTCCTCTCTTTCTTCCTTCCTTCTCTTTTTCCTTCCTCCTTTCCTCTTTGGGGATGTTTAGCTGGGAGAACAGAAGGTAGAGAGTGAACATGAGAGCCATGTTTCAAGATTTAAAAGGGTGTCCCATTGAGGAGGAGGGGGGAAACTGACTTTCTCCTGCTCTAGAGACCAGGACACAAGGGAGCAATGGTTTCAAATGGCAGAGAAAAAGATTCGACTGAAAAGATTAGGAAGAACTTCCTGAAGGGTGGCATCGGCTGCCTCGGGGTGTGCTGGAGTCTCCTTCTCTGGAGGCTTTTCTGCAGAGGTTTTGATTGTGACTTCCTGCATTGAAGGGGGTTAGAAATGATGGCCCTTGGTGGTCGCTTCCAGCTCTAGGATTCTAGAATTCTATATCAGGAGAAGGAATACAAGGTCTAATAGATACACTTTTTCTCTCCCATCCACATCTCATCCTGACCAAGGCTAACCCTTTTGGGTTTCCTGTCTTTCCTTCCCTTTCTGTCTCCAAAAGAAAAGAGGCAAGGGAGGAAAGGGCAGGCAGGGGGCTTGGGGAGAACCCGTTCTTCCCGGCCTGCCCACCCTGCTCCAGCCCGCCATACAGACCCCAAGTTACAAAGTTTGCTCATGCCTGATATAAACACACTACCAGAAAAGATTCCCTCCTCCTGAAAGTCCATAATATAAGTTGTTTTATGTTATTATTTACGGGAGGAAAGAGTCTCAGGCTATGACAAGTCTAGGAGTTACTTTGGAACAGAGCTCAAGCCATTCAGAAATGGAATACAGTTTTATGTGAAAAATTGATATGTGAGATGAGACAATAGGGATGGAAGGATGAAATTATGTCATCATTTAAACATGCTATTCATCCATTATATTTGCCAACAAATAATCTTCTGATTATCATCTTTCTGAAACATGAAAAAAAATCTGGACATTTCCTTTTGACAGCATGGCACAAATGAACCCACATAGAACTTCTTTTTTCATTTGACTAGGCACTGAACAATAAAACAATGTATTATAATCTCAGGTCTAACTGCATGACTATTTGTTGAATGTTGTTTATTACAATTTATAAAACATTACACATGTACTGTATAACATTGTCGAATGAAATGAAACTCACACATTCAGCTTCCTAAACGGAATGTCACCTTATTAAAACACACAAATATGTAAGTCAGGAGTATCCAATACTGTATTATGGAGTTTCAAAATACACTGGAAAACCTAGCTGGTATGTTTTCAGATGGCTGTATTATTGTGACATATTACCTTTTTTTCCCCAAGGAGGGCAGATCTTTGAAATAAATACATTCTACGGAATACAATACCAGATTAGACAGAGTGCAAAATGCTTTTGTCTGCATGCAGTTTTTATGAGAAGTGCTTACTTCACTGAAGCAGTCTTTCCGCATGTGCACACCATTTTAAATCACATTCATCGAGTCTTTAGAGAACAGGCTGAGAGGTTAATAAGATTTTTCATACAGAAAAATGGCCTTTGGGAAATAATACCTTTCATTTACTTTTCAATTTAATTTTTAATACTTTGAATTAATATTGCCTTATTTGCATCCACCGTCTGACACTGAAAGCCAAGGAGGTGTACCTGAATCATGGCCTGTGAATAGCTATAGGAAATATTATTTATTCATGAATAATATCTTGCATATTTGAAAGAACCATTCTTTGGATGCAAAATTTCATAATATACTAGTGGAATTTATTTTGTTTCTTCCTTTACCATGTGATTGCAATATATGAATTAGGGGAGGAAAAGGAAGACAAGTAACTGCTTTCATAAAGTACTTAATGTTGCTTTAGTCATCTGATAATAAAGAGGCATCTTTTTGGGAGTCATGTTCCAAATCTATTATTTCTATCATGGACAGGTCTTCTCTCTCTCACTTCAGATGTATCTGCTGTGAACAATTATTTCACATTTTATCTGAAAAGTATTAACAAGGGACCCCTAGTGGCGCAGCGGGTTAAACCACTGAGCTGCTGAACTTGCTGACCGAAAGGTTGGCAGTTTGAATCTGGATAGCGGGGTGAGCTCCCACCGTTAGGCCCAGCTTCTGTCAACCTAGTAGTTGGAAAACATGCAAATGTGAGTAGATCAATAGGTACAACTTCTGTGGGAAGGTAACGGTGCTCCATGCAGTCATGTCGAGGCGTCTACGGACAACACCGGCTCTTCAACTTAGAAATGGAGATGAGAACTCCCCCCCCCCCCCCCCCAGAGTCGGAAACAACTAGACTTAATGTCAGGGAAAACCTTTACCTTTACTTATTAACAAATATTTATTAATTGTTTGCCTATAATTGCCAGCAATAAAATGACCTTTGCACGAGGTGGGTTGTTAAGTTTATAGAAGCAGTGTAAAGCAAGCAGGATAGGTTTTCCAATGGACAAATGGCAATTTAAGATACTAAATATTAAATCCAAACAAATCCAAAATGACAGATGGAAGATGTTGCCAGTCTGTTTTCATGAATGTTAGTTAAAATAGACCACAGTTTGGGATTTAAATATAATATTAAACTGTAGTTAATAAAAATGAAGCATAGGTTCCTGAGCTTCTGGTTTTGCTAGACGTGTGGGAAGATGCCAGTTCATTACAAATGAATGCAGCTAATATATTTATTCTGGCCAACTAAAGAACCGCAAAGCAGTGGAATAGTTTTTGAATTTCACAATCCTCACCCTGAGGTCCAGTACTAAAACAAATAGGGAGGGGAAAGGAAGGTATTTTCTAATAGAGATCTCAGAAGAAGTTCTGTTTGTAATATGTTGCCTCTATAAGATAATGCTCACAGTTTAATTACATTTTAGTTGGTCCCAATTTTGATATTAGCCTACAAGAAATTTTCAGTATCCATCTGTTGGCCAACCCAATAGGAAACGCTTTCCAAACTCATTAGGCATGTGTGCCCTGGATGAATAATTTAAGGTTGAACTAAAGCATGGGATGCCTTTGGGGTTTTAAAAAATTCCACTGAATTTAATGGAGAGCAACATGACAGTCCTTTCCTTCTTGGTGACAGAGACAGATATTTAGAATTACAGGCTTATGCAATTAAGTAAAATTCAGAAATGTCTAAGTATATGTTTTGGGGTATTCCTTGGCTAAGAACTCACCATAAGTCAACTGGCAATATACACATGGAAAATCCCTGGATTCGAACCGCCAACCTTTTGGTCAACAAGTTCAACCACTCAGCAGTTTAACCCGCTGCACCATCAGGGGACACTTTCAGATGCGTATGTTCTTTCAAATTATATTTTCACAAAATGGAATATAATGGAGTCTCTATGCTGTTGTATCCTGTGTGCTTTCACTGTTGCAAGCTTGGAAAGATAATCTGTATGAATAAATGGTCCAAAGTCCATAACTGGTTAGAAGATTTAACTGTTGCTACAAATGAATGCATACTATAGGTGTCAACTTCAAGAAATAGTATCTTCACAACGATAATCAACTATGCATAAGCAATCCCCAAGTTAAAGACATCCAACTTATATATGACTCATAGTTAAAAACGGGGTTGAGACAACAGGAAGTGGGAAGAATCTACTCCTCAGAAGGGAAATTCACTCCCGAAAGACTTATAATGGAAAACAGGCATCTCCACTCATTGTTTCAATGACAACCCAAAATTTTCAAAATCCAATTGTCACAGGGACAGAAAGTGAGGTGAAATCTCATGAACAGGGACACAGACAGCAAAATAATCACTATAGGGATGTTAACCCTTCCCTATGCAATCCAAACCTAATGATCTCCCTCCCTCTCTCTCCCTCTCTCTCTCTATCTATATTTGGCTGGCTTACACTTAAAATGTATATGTTCTGACTTGCATACAAATTAAACTTCTCTCAAAGATCATAAAGAAACTCTTTGGATTTCATAATCTATTTAAAAGCAGCCACATCTAGATGTGCTTTACCAACTTATTTCAAGAATGCCAAGAGGTGGCTTAATACAATCAGGAGGCACTGTGTGCACAATATTCCCTTCATTAAGCAAGATCTATTTTTAAAAATGATAAAATTAGTCTCATGTGGCTTCTTTTTGAGAAACGTATGCTATCTCTTATTAATCACATTACTCTTCTGTGCGTGCAGACAAACTGTTTATTGATCTACTGTAAACATTTCCCAATACTGATGTCAAATCGAAATCTCCATAGTTTCCTAGGTCCACCCCCCCCCCCCCCCCCCCAAAGAGAAGAAGAAACCGACACTAATTGACTCTGGGGCTACAACTGAATATGTAATTAGGGTATTTTCTTGCTGATTTGTCCCTTTTTCCATTTTCCATGCATACTTCCTTTAAATCTTTGCTTATCTGAAAACTCCTGAAGTAGATATAGTCACATTTCTTTAGGCATTTAGTTACCATTAGATTTGTGCTTTTCATGTCTAATTTTTAAGAAACTTCCATGTATTACAAACTTCTAAAACATTTGTTGTTGTTGTTTTCCTACCCCCTGCCTATGGATTGATGCTATACATGGATACGTAGTAAAACAAAGGACACACCACACAGTAAAAAACATGAACACCAATTAAAAAGATATAATCTATTAAAAGAGAATAACATCAGTTCAGAAATCATACA